CCCCAAAACCCCAAAACCCCAAAACCCCAAAACCCCAAAACCCCATATATGTGAATCCACATTGAGATTTTATAATTTATTAGATACCTCCAATGAATCACAAGATAGCATATTTGTTGCTAGTTATGATAAGCTTGGCTTTCAGCCAAGAGCATCATGTAGGAGAAGAGAGCCATTCTGAAGATTTCCTAGACGGATTGATGAAATCATCAGAGGAGTTTTCACAGCTGAATTTATCCGAATGTATCCAGAAACAGCTCGATACAGGTTTTGATGGTTTCTTGATGAATTTGGAAGACTTGCTTAAGACAAAGGGAGATGCTAATTCTCTTGAAGTATCTCAAGCAACTTCTAAACTTCTCTTAAGTTTATTAGCTGTGAATACAGATTTATGCAATAACGAAACTGATCTGAGACAGGAGCTCCTCAGAATATCTGAGGCTCTTGGAGATAGAACCACCATTGAGCATCATGATTCACACAAATCTATGAATCTCGACCACATGCTTCAGAGTTTGCAGGCTCATGATTACCAGACTGTTGGATACAGCATTGGAACCTTAATGCAAGAGCTAATCTCTTCGGAACCTCAAACTGATTTTGAGAAGTTTGATACTTTCTGGACTACTTACTATAAAGCTGCTTATAACCTAAATCTCCATCTAAAAGAATGCCAACCTTACATTCAGGAATCTGCAGAAGAAGTTATGAGAGGGTTGCATGTCTTCACTCATGCCTCTAACCTTGAAGAAAGAGAGCAAGGTGCCTACGACATGATGATGGGCTTGAATGCAACTGGAGTAGGACTTGAGCAATGTGGAGATACTTCAGGGATCTGGAACTTTGGATTCGAAAAATTAGATATGTTTTGGGAGAGATGGATTGAAGTCCCAAATGTCTTCGTTAGTGCTTTCACTCACAACCTGATCTCTTTCCCCAGAGCTATCATAAATACTATGAGAGCATACATGAAAGAACCCTACGATTATGAGTTCGGAGCCAGATCTTTTGGCGATGCGGTCAGAATGATGCTTGAGCAATTTGGATAAATATCCTTAAGTCATTATGGTCCCCTATTTATTATTGTAACCTGGTAGAATATTAATGGGAGAGATTAGCTTATTCCAATTTAGGCACCAAGGAAAGGGGTTTTGGGGTTTTGGGGTTTTGGGGTTTTGGGG